TAATAATAATAATAATAATAATAATAATAATAATAATAATAATAATACAAGGAAGAAGAAGAGGAAGAGGAAGAAGTAGTAGAAGTAGTTCCTAAGTCCTTGGTTAGGACTTGAGCTGTCGAGCTACCAAACAGCCCCAAAAGCTGTGAATCTCACTAAAGATAGTAAAAATAATGTTTTCTTTCTTTCACTTTTGTCATCCTTGCAACCTGACTGAAAATAACGGGAAGGAAAAGTGAAAAAGCAAAAAGCCAATATTAGACTTAGTAAAAAAACCAAAAAAAACACCTTAAAATTGCTTCCTCCTGCAAGTTTCTCCTTCACACAAAAAATAGGGGTCCCACCCTCCATAGGAAAACCCCCCCCCCCGCCCTCCGTTTCCAACGTCATTAAGGGAGACACACAGTGGTTGTCTATTAACAACTCTATTGCAAAGGATTGTGCTAAAATCTATCCAAGCGATTATTTTGCCAGCTTTTAAAGCCCCCGCCGCTCTTCCTCTCCGGATTATAAGCGCCGCAAACAGAATAACGAAAAAAAAAGGTAATAAATTTATCTTTGGTTTGTAACCGGGACAGGAGTGTGCCATTGGAAAAGTTTGAGGAAGGAAAGCATGATGTGTTTGGTTTTTACCAATCTGTATCTGTGCAAAGTTAGAAAACAATTTTGACGCGGTCCTTTACGGAAACGAGATGTTGAAATGAACAAGCTAATGAAATTTAAACGGAAAAAAGAGAAACAGCAAGAAATGTTGAAACGCTTGGCCCAGAGAGGGGGGAAAAAGGCAAAATAATAAAATATTTAAAAAAAAACAACCAAGGAAGGAAACAGGTGTAGAAACTGACACGTATGTGAGATTTGTCATCAAGGTTTTGCATAAGTAAATGGGGGGGGGGGGGAGAATCCCCCAAAACTTCCTTTGGCAGACCAAAATTATTGCAGGCTGGTAGAGGGGGAAAAAAAAGTGATTTTATGCTACAAGACAGCTGGATGCGAATTTTATACCCTATAAAATTAATCGGACATTTTCCAAAAGAATTTTTAAGATCAGGCTTCCAACAGCTGAGCGCGAATTTCACAACTTATAAAAAGTTAATTTATAATTATTTTTTTTTACAAAAGATGTTAAGGTCAGGCTTCAAACAGCGTTAAGCAGCCATAAGAAAGGCAAACGGGAAGAGATTCAGATTTTCATGATTTTCTCTTTTTTGTGTGTGGGGGGGGAGGAAATATAATCTGCGGGAATTTTTTTTTTCCTCCGCAATCTTTTGATCCAGGCTGGGAATTCGGACTCGGGGCAACACATAAGTGCCCAGTGGCAAATTTTCTCTTTTTTAAAAAGAAAAGAAAAGAAAAGAAAATTAGACTTATGGCTGTCGGAGAACTCTAGGCAGCCCCGTAAATCCTCCAACAAAGGTGTATTTTTTTTTTTTTTTTAAAAAAGAAACCTCTAGACTTTTTGGAGCCCTCTGCATGTGCTCAGAGGACTTTCCCCAGCCTTGGTGAAGGATGTGCCCCCTGAGCCCCCCCCCCCAGTGTTAAGTGACGGGGTGACTCGGGTCTCAAAGTCCGATTCTGAAGCCCCGTATAAAGGGGAGTCCAGAGGGTACCTTCTTCTTATAGGCTAAATATTCCTCTCCGAAAAAGTGGATCAGGGCCCTTTCTTCCTCCTCGACCCGGTCGCGGAAAAAACGCCAGGAAACCAGGGTGTAGCCGATCAGGCAGACGGGGTTGCAGAGAAGTACCTGGAAGGGAGGGAAATGAGAGAGAGAGAGAGAGAGAGAGAGAGAGAGGGTTATGTTTTTTTTGGGGGGGGGGGGGGGAATTCTCTTCCTGGTTGGCACCCTCGAGAAAAGCAACCTGACTTAGTTTAATTTAAAACTCAAGTTGGCACCCCAAGTCCAGGGCTCCCATCGCTGGAGGGTTTCAAGACGAGCCATTTGAGTTGGGAATCGCCTCCTGCCTTAAGTGGTGGGCTGGACTAGATGGCCTCTGAGGTCCCTTCCAGCCCCACAGTCCTATGTTCTAACGTCACCTTGTAGGGGGTGACAAGCTAGGAAAGGCAGCGAGGGTTGTATTTGCACAATCTTGGAAAAAACGAGAATGCTCCATGGACTTCCCTTCTCAGGTGGTCACCAAAGGGGACCACGTGACTCCCGTCGTAAATACGAGTCGGTCCCCAGGGGGCTGAATTTTGATCACGTGACCGTGAGGACGCTGCGATGGTCGTTAAGTGTGAAGATCGGTCGCAAGTCCCTTTTCCCCCCAGTGACATCGTAACTTCAAACGGCCACTAAACGAACGGTTAAGTCGAGGACCGCCTGGAATGAACGCCGTTCTTTTGTTACGGCGACCCGCCCCTACCTGAGTTCCGATGCTCCAGTAGAACCAGCCCACGTACGAAGGGTGCCGGCACCAGCCGTATACGCCCTGCGTCACCAGCCGGTGTGATGCCGACTTCTCGTTCTGGACGATGTGGTTGAAATTCGAGCCAGCCGTCAGCATGGCTGCCTTGCGCAGGAAGTCGCCCAGGACGACCATCAGCAGCCCAGCGGAGCTCAGCCAGCCCACCTGCTTCAGCTCTGAGAGAGAGAGAGAGAGAGAGAGACAAAAAATAGGGGGGTGGGTGGGCCTCGACTTGCAACCGTCGGTTCAGTGGCCGTTCAGAGTTACAAATAGCAGAGAAGGAGGGGCTTGGTTGGCGGACGTGGAAAACGCTCTATCCATCCATCTGTATCTCTCTATCATCTGTCTATCCTATCTATCTATCCCTCTATCCACCCACCCATCTATACATCTACCATTTCTCTCTCTCATCTATCTATGTATCAATCTCTCTCTATCCCTCCATCCATCTATGTATCTACCTCTCTCTCTCTCATCTCTCTCTTTATGTATCAATCTCTCTCTATCCCTCCATCCATCCCTCTCTATCCACCCATCCATCTCTATACCTACCATCTCTCTCTCTCTCTCTCATCTATACCTCTCTCTCTTTCTCTAAGGATAAATCCAAGCATTCACCTGGGAAAATGAATTTTTCCACGGTGAACTCAACCCACGAGGAAAGGGCGGCCATCTTGTATTCAAAGCTGTGGTTGAGCAGGAAGGAGTCCAGGGACAGGCTACGGGGGTTGTTGACCGCCGTGACCAAATATTCTGAATAATGGAAGAGGGACAACGAACACATGTACCTACAAAGAGAAAGAGAGAGAGAGAGAGAGAGAGAGACAAGCAAGGAGATGCACAATTGAGAAAAAAAAAATCTGATTCAAACTTCAAGAAAATCCCCCCCCCCCAAAACAGCCATGTTTTGCCTGTAATGTCAACAAGAATCAACCAGCCTTTATTAAAATCTAGTTTGAGTATCATGTGGGTTATTTATTTGTTTATTTATGAAATTTGTTTGCCGCCTGTCTTGTTGTAAGGCAGCCCAGGGAAGTTTTGTTTAGTGTCGATTTATGAGGTGTTGATGTTTCTCTTATCCAGCCACAAAAACCTGGGTGATAATAATCATAATAATCATTTTGTTATTTGGATGCTATTTTTCATGTTAACACACCCAGTTTCCTTGTGCTTATAACACCAGTTTGTGGTAACAGATAAGCACAAACGAAATTTGTTTTTTAAATTACAGGTAGGGTTACCATCCTCGACTTGAAAGTGTCCAAGAGAAAGGGATCTTAAGAGACTATAGAATCCCAGGGCTGGAAAGCACCGTGGAGATCTTCTAATCCAGCCCCCTGCCCAAGGCAGGAGTCCTAGGCTGAAACATTGGGAAGGGACCTGTGAGATCATCTAGTCTAACCCTCCTGCCCAGCGCAGGAATCCCCAAAACAGCAGACAACTCTCGACTGGAACATTCGGAAGTGACCTGTGAGGTCAAGAAGAGATTGGACTGCCAATTGTTAGAAATGGTGTAGGGTCTCCCGCTTGGGCAGGGGGAAGGGGGTTGGACTGGATGACCTACAAGGTCCCTTCCAACTCTGATTCTCTGTTATCTGTCATCTAGTCCAAAACTTGGGTTATTCTTACCAGCCAAAATGTTTCCAGGAAGACTGCCTGAAGCTGAGCAGCAAGCCGCACCCGAACGCAAAGCCCAGGAAACAGGCCCGGATCGCGATCTGCAAGAAAGAGGCAGACAAGGATGGTCAGCTGGGAGGGCAGGCAGGCTGCTATGGCACTGGTAGAGCTACTTGGGGCAGACGGTGGTGGGAGGGATTGCAGGCAAGTGGGCTGCATTAGGTCAAAACTACGGGGCTCAAACGGAGCTTCTTCGGCCTAGCCAACTTTTGTGTGTACAGGCAGTCCTCGACTTACGACCGCCATCGAGGTCAACATTTCTGCTGCTAAGTGACACCGTTGCTAAGGACTTTGTCCCATTTTATGACCTTTCTGGCCATAACAGTTAAGTGAACAGTTAACCATGTGACACTCAGGGACAAACTGCAGCCGTCATAAGCATGAGCCAGTTGCCAAGCATCTGTGATCACGTGACCTGCGGGGATGCCGCAATGGTTGCTAAGTGTGGAAAAATGGTCATATTTAGAAGGGGCCTCCGAGGTCACCTAGCCCAACCTCCCCCCTTTTGCCCAGTGCAGGAAAGATAAAAGAGAATCCTAGTCTAGAACATTTGGAAGGGGTCTGTGAGGTCATCTAGGCCAACCCCCCTCTCCGCCCCCCACAATGCAGGAATCCCTTTTAACAAGCAGAATCCTAAACTGGAATATTGCCCTCTGTACATGCTCAGGAGCCCTTCCCACCCACCCCCTCTCCCATTCCAAGGCAGAAGGCAGCAGAGATAAAAGAAAGATGCTCCTAAGCCACGCCCCCGAGGACCAGGGGGCGTGGCCTCCTCACCTGGTACATCCCGCCCGGCGCTCGGCCCCAGGCCAATAGGAGCGTCGCGTTGGCGCCGGCGACGTGGAGGGCCAGAGCGGCCCGGCCTTGGAAGCCGGCCCGGAGCAGGAGAGGCACGGCAGCCACCACGGAGCCGCCCAGCAAGAAAGCGGCCAGGCTGGTGCGCGCCTCCGCCCCGCGGAACCGTCCGGCCCTCCCCTGCTCGCCGGCCATGGCGAACGGCCCGAGGCCCGCTCAGCTCTCGCGAGACTTGCCGCGCGCGAACGGGGCGTAGCCGGCCCTCCCGTAAATCTCGCGAGACCCCTTCGCGTCGAGATAGGAGTAGGGTGTAGAGATATGAAAAGGGTAGAGGTGCCCAAGGGCTATTTCTGAGTTAATTTCCGAACCCCTACCACCGCTTTGAGTCCCATGGGGCTGCGCCGGCAGGCAGCACATGGGAGTTTGAGTCCTTTGGCAATCTGAAGGTGCTTTCCAGCAAGTTTGGAGGGTTGAGCGATGTTAGGCGGCCTGGAGACTGGCTGCACTTAACACTATTGGCATTTAGAGGCCGGCGTGCCTAGTGGGACTGCCCCTCCAGTGTCTGATGCTCCCCATTCAGCCCCCACCCTCAGTGGTGGGAGTGGGACCCCCATACCTGCTTGCAGTCCCCAATTACCTGGGGAGCTGCAGCAGCCACTGCTGGCCTGGAGTCATGAAAACCAAGAAATTGATCAGGGGGATCTCAGGGGTCATCTAGACCAACCACAGCCTAGAGCAGGAATCCAGCACTGTAGCAGCCTCCAGTCCAGCAATGAGGTCCCCTCCGTTGCATTTAACATCTTCAATTTTCTTTATATGACACTCAAAAGCAATCTCAACAAACAATTGTAAGCAAGACTATGGAGAAGATGCACAAAAAAATTGTAACCAACCGACACACTGTATGTACGTGATTGGAAGATGGTTTTTTATGTTTTATGTTTGTTTGTGTAGGTTTGTCCAAAAATAAAAAATTAAAAAAGCCACCTCAGCCAGTGATTTCATTGCTCGCTGAAGCAATTTAGTGTTGGCAGTCTTTTCAGAACCACGGGCAGCGACTCTCCGCTTGGGTGCACCTAGGCTCAGCTAGATGACTTTCAGGTGCCTCTTGGGCTGGGACCCAGCAGATTTTAATCACATGAGTACAATGGTCACAAGTGAAAAAGTTAGTCCCAAGTCGCTTTTTTCAGTGCCGTTGTAACTTTGGACCGTCACTAAATGAGAGTTTTATTTTATAGATCGGCGATGCTCAAATGCCCCCAAATTGTCAGATGTTTCTGTCGGTCTACTTCCTTGCCCTTTTTTTTTTACCTATTCCAACATTTACAGCAGTGTCTTTCAACCTTGTTAAGATGTCTGAACTCAGAATTCCCCAGCTTGTCATTTTATTCCTCCCATTTCCTTACAGCAGAGAGATTGCAAAGGCATACAATAGGGACAGGCTTAAAAAGCCACGCCTTATCACCAGGGAATAATGGGAGTTGAGAAGTTGACCGATCTTAAAGGTGCCAAGAAACTCTGCTCTCCACACAAATTTTGAATTAAAAGTACCCCGTCCCTCAGGAAGAAAATGAATGACCAGACGAGGCGACTTTTCTTTTTAATTTTTAATTCAACTTTTTACAGGAAGAAATCCTCAAGAGGTCCAAAAACTTAAAAAAGAGAGAAAGAGAGCACGCTACAAATAGTTTGGGAACAAAAAACCGCTGTGAAGAAAACGTGTTCTGGTTGAAAGACCAAAGTTCGCTGGGACGTGTTCTAGAAATATATATATATATATATTGCACCCCCAGAAAAAACTGTTTAGGGGAGAAACAGGGTTATATCGAACACGGAGCAAACACCCACTTAGATACCAGAGAGGAAAAAACAGGGGTACAAAGGATCGCCCTAAAAGTTGGAAGTCGCAGAACGAATTAAAATGCTTCCAGAAGTCTGGAAATGCCACGAACCCCATTTCTCAACTTGGAAAAATAAAACAAATGCAAGTATTGCCTTATGACCCCAGGAAGAGATAAAAAGATACAGTACAACAAAGGGTTCAACAGCCCCCCTCCCCGATATCCCACCCTCCTCCTGTGAAAAAGAAGGCCAAAACCTCTGGCTGGTTGGATGACCTCTGGGAATCCCAAAATGGCCAGCGTGGTTAATTTTTAAAACCCTTTTAAAAAGGCACGATATTCTTTATTGTTTTGCTTTCTTTCTTTCTTTCTTTCTTTCTTTCTTTCTTTCTTTCTTTCTTTCTT